AAATAAGCACCCGTGTAGATAAGTAGCTTGGCTGGGGATTTGAGATATTGTCCAGGGAAACATATTTAATTATGTATTCCTATAATTTTAGTTTTAATGTTTTTATTGAAAGGTAATGAAATATAAAGTAACATGTATGTTATCAAACAATAAAGTAACCTTCAGTTACTTTTTGGGCAGATCAGAATGGAAAGAGCTCGTTGTAACACTGCAATAGCATGACTCTTCCTGATCTACTGTGAAGTCTACAATGAACTCTTACCCTTGTTTTGAATGAGTTCCAGATATGTTAATAAGTGATTTTTTCTGTTTTGAAACATGACTGCTCCATGGTAATCCAAAGCAGATGATTGCCAACCTATGCATCAATAAAAACAGACTACAGGTGAAACTCAGTAGATATGGCTTTATTTGTGGAGAATAAAATGGAGTTAATGTTTTGAGTCTAATATAACTCCTTCCAAAGTTAAATTTGTTATTTTAAAAAATTCAGGAGATGTGGGTTTTGCTGGCTGAGTATTTGTTGCTTATCCCCCCATTACTTTTGAGAAGGTGTGGTGAGCTGCCTTCCTGAACTGCTGCAGTCCATTTGGTGTAGGTGCATACATAATGCTGTTAAGAATGGAGTTCCAGGACTTTGACCCAGACCCAGAGGAATGGTGATATGTTTCCAAGTCAGGATGGTGATGGCTTGGAGGGGAACTTGCAGGTAGCAATGTTCCCATGTATTTGCTGCCCTTATCCTTCCAGATAGCTGTGGCCATGGATTTAGAAGATGCTTTCTAAGGAGCCTCTGTGAGTTTCTGCATTATATCTTGGAGATGGCACTGCTGTGTGTGTGTGTGTCTTTGTCCTAGAACACATCAAGCTTCTAGGATGGTGTCGGAGCTGCAGTCATCTGGGCAAATACAGAGTATAGAAGAGTATAGAACAGACAATAGAAGAGCTGAATATTATTTAAAATGGGGAAAGTGTGTAATAGGAAGGTAAATGATTTTCTTGTGTTCAAAGGTTGGGTAGGTTAGACTTGTCCTCATTAGAGTTTAGAAGAAAGAGAGGAGAACTAATTGAAACGCAAAAAAGATTCTTTATGGGCTTAACAGGGTGGATATGTTTCCCATTGTGGGAGAGTCTAGGGCCAGAGGGCATAATCTCAGACTAGGTAGTCAGCCATTTACTTCAGATATGAGGAAAATGTCAACCCTCTGAAAGAAAAACAGTCTGTAGTATTCTTTACTACAGAGGTCTTTCGAGGCTAGGTGCTTAAATATAGTCAAGGTTGACATAGACAGATTTTTAGCCAGTAAGGGGGCAAGGATTGTAGGGATAAGGCAAGAAAGTGGAGTTGAGGGTTATCAGATCAGCCATGATTTCATTGAATAATGAAGCCGACTTGATGGATGAAATTAGCAACTTCTGCTCCTGCTTCTCAAGGTCAGTGAAGCTGACATTCCATGACTGAACGACAATATAAAAAGATAGTGAAGAAATGGTGATATAAATCCGAGTTCAGGATGGTTTGAGTCTAGGAAGCAACTGTATACACAGTACTCTAGCTGTGATCTCACCAATACCTTGTACAATGATTGCAAAATACCCATTCTTTTTATTCAATTTCCCTTACAATAAACATCGACATTCCATGTGCCTTCCTGATCATTCAATATATCTGCAGACTGACTTTTTGTGATGTCCTCTGTACTGCAGATTCTGTAGTCTCTCTACATTTAAATAACGTGCTGCATTTCTGTTCTTCCTGGCAGGTTGGGCACGTTCACACTTTTCCACATTACACCAAATCTTTTACCATCTCAGTTAACTTATTATGTCACTTCGCAGTTTCCTTGTGCGTCTTCACAACTAGCTTTACTACCTTTGTGTCAACAGCAATTTTGGAACCATATTTTTGGACCCATCATTGACATAGATTGTAAGTAGTTGAGGTCCTAGCACTGTACCTGTGCATTCCATTCATTGCATCTTGCCAACCTGAAAATAACCCATTTATGTATACTCTATTTCTTGTTGGCTAACCACCTTCTTCCTTTACCCATGGTAATACATTTATCCTCTACACCATTGACTCTTACTTGTTTTGATGTTAGAGTTTATAACATCACAGATGTGGCTATGAAGAAAGTCTTTTACAATGTATCCTCATGCAGCATCACAAAACACAATTTAAAGGAAGTTAAATTCTTGTGTAAAATGCTCTTTTTTAAAATTGCCACAAGCCCAGTCTCTGCAGTGATGCACAATATCAACTTGAATTAGTTGATCACACTTGTGCTTGTTGAATTCAAACACAACTCCTGCACTTCAACACTTAATCTTGACTGATAGCTCAGTTCAAAGGTCTTGACTGAAAGATGACGTTTCACAAAGTCCATTTGCTGCTTCTGGCATTTTGCTAGCTACTATCAGTTCTGAGGAAGGGTCACTCGACCCGAAACGTTAACTCTGATTTCTCTCCATAGGTGCTGTCAGACTGGCTGAGCTTTTCCAGCAGTTTCTGTTTTTATTTCTGATTTACAGCATCTGCGTTTTTTTTTGGTTTTTCCATTTACTGCTTCATTGATGGGAAATAAATAGGTTGATGGTGCTTTGAAGCTGAAAATTCTTTTCGTGTATTTGTCAGGATTCCTCATTTAACAAGCATTAGCAGATCATTGCTATTAGAGGACTTGTGATGCATGTTTTGGGACATCCTGGTAAGATGTCATGTAAATTAGTTACTTTTTGTTAATTTTTTTATTCATTCGTGGGTTGTGGGTGTCTGTATCTAGCTGCCTTCAATAAGGAGGTGGTGAGCTGCCGACTTGAACTGCTACAGTCCAGCTGCTGTGGGTAGACCCACAATGTCGTTAGGGAGGGAATTCTAGGCTTTTGATCCAGTGACGGTGAAGGAAAGGTGATATATTTCCAAGTCAGAATGGTAAGTGGCTCGGAGAGGAACCTGCAGGTGGTGGTGTTCCCTTGTATCTGCTGTTCTTGTCCATCTAGATGGAAGTGGTCGTAGGTTTGTAAGGAGCTGTTAAGGATCTTTGGTGAACTTCTGCAGTGCATCTTGTAGATACACTGCTGCTACTGAGTGTCAGTGGTGGAGAGAGTGGATGCTTGTGGATGTGGTGCCAATCAAGCAGGCTGCTTTGTCCTGGAGGTAGTCATTGCCTGGCATTGTATGATGTGAATGTTATTTGCTGCTTGTCAGCCCAAGCTTGATATTGTTCAGATCTTGTTGCATTTGAACATAGACTGCTTCAGTATCTAAGGAGTTGTGAATGGTGCTGAACGTTGCGTAATCATCAGTGAATGTTCTCCCTTCTGACATTATTAAGGAGGGATGGTCATTAATGAAGCAGCTGATGATGGTTGGGCCTAGGGCACTATCCTGAGGAACTCCTGTTGAGATGACTGACCTCCAAAAACCACAGCTATCTTCCTGTGTGTCAGGCGTGACTCCAGCCAGTGGAGAATTTGCCCTTGATACACATTGATTCCAGTTTTGCTAGGGTTCGTAGATGTTACTGAGTTGAATGCAATCTTGTCAAGGGCTGTCACTCTCACTTCACCTCACCTCATCTTTGTTCCACATTTACTGGTGCAGTGGACTTAGTTCAGTGTGAAAATTACAGTATAAAATGGTGGCCATCTCTCTGATCCAGTTTCACGTCTTCTACTCAGGATTACTGTAAGGGAGCCCTTGGCTGTGTTTGCTTCAGTTTAATAGCCGGAACTGAACTGACAGCCTGGAATACACAATTCATTTTGCTGTGCATTAAAGACTTTCACTGTTGGTGTGAGTGTGAAACTGACACCTCAGCTAGCACACAAGCCCCTGTAAGTGGATTTAACGCATTCATGTTCAATAGCATATCAGGTATTTTTTGTCTTCCTCTGAAATTCTGAATGCTGTTTGGTGTACACTTGTTTAAAATTTTGTTTGCTCAGAAAGGTGCTCTGACCAGCATAAGTGAAGTTGACAGTGTTTAATGTACTTCAGTTGCTACTATTATGGAAGTGTAATCATCATATAGCACTTTTATATGGAAATATATTTCCCTCCATGAAAATCTGCTATTTCACTTGTGAAGGATTCTTTTAACTTGACTTCTAAACGTGGACATTTCAGTGACAAATGAAGTGCCATATACCTAATCAGTAATGAAGTATATAGGTTTGGAAAAGAAGACCTGGTGTTTTATAGTTCTCTTCAGAGCTTCTTGCTGATGGAAACTTTAGTGAACCTCATCTTCCAGTCTCCATATTATCTATGAGGACATAGAATAATGAGTTTTTGTGGAAGAGAAGAGCTTAGAGCTTGAATTTTCACACACTAGTTAGATTATTTGTGAATAAATGCAAAATACTATGGATGATGGAAATCTGAAATAAATGCACATAATGCTGGAGAAATCAGCAGGTCTGGCAGCATTTGTGTAGAAAGAAACAGAGTTAATGTTTCAAGTCTGGTATGACTTCTTCAAAACAGTTCTGAAGAAGGGTCTTAATGGACTTGACTGTTTTTGAAGATTTACTTAGATATTTATGAAAGGGAAAACCAGAGGAGATTGCTTTGCATTGCTTTTTGCTTGATATGACAGGAACTTAACTCCTTGTGATATCTCTTCAGTTTTCAGTTTCAAGTCTGGCAATTAAGCTACGTTAATAGTTTTATGTGAGTTTCTTAAAGGATGAGATTTTAACTGGAGTCCTTAATAAGGCTAACATTTATCAGTGGTTATAATGACATTGCTTTTTGAGAGAGCTTAGAAAATGTTCCCTATGTTGCAGCAGTTATTACATTTCAGAAATGCTACTTTGCCTGTAAAATACTTTGGGTTGCCTTTGATTTGATTAGAGAAGGCATTATTTTACAGCTCTACGTATGAAGTTGCCAGTATGGTTAGAAACAAGTTCTGCAATTGTTACCAACATATTACAGTGTTACTTTAATTTCTTTGTGATTCTTCTAATTATACCTTTTCTTTTTCCATTAGGACAGGCAGTGGAACTGGCTCAAAGGTCTTCAGATATCCCTGAGCACCAAACTGCAAAATCTGTTGGAATCTGCACTGCAGAAGCTGTCTCTCTTCCAGAAGATGAGTCTAACTACACCTTGAGAGCTGAATCAGAGGAAAATGCCCTTTTGGAACAAGGAACATTAATGGAAAAGGGCAAACATGTAAGTTTGCTATTGAATTTAAGGAGTTGGATAAGAAAAAGAAAGAAATTTGGGCTACCAAAGAATCCCGTAATTGATTGGTCCAATGATGCATATGTTACACTATGGTATAGTAGATAGTGTCCATTTTGCACTCTTGCTCAACATATTCCTTTCTTAGTCAGATGATCAGGTGGTTAATTGATCATTGTAAATGATGATGAGAACAGCAGGAAACACATTCTGGGCTCTCACCTCACTTTGATCAGTTAAAAAGGTGAATTGGAGCAGGTAATTGATATAGAATTGTGACTAACATGAAGGATCAGGACAGGAATCATATTTTGAAGATTCTGAAGAAAAACTAGATCAATTGATAAGAGTTCAGATATATGTTATCGTTCTTGTAGATGTGATTCAAGAAAACAGTGTTCTGTTTTCTGGGTGTTTTATTTGAAAGACAGTTTGTTACTTCTGAAGTAATTGCTTGATTTGTAAACTATCTTGCATTAGCTCCTGTTTGTAGTGAACGAAAAACACTAGAGTAATCATAATTATAGCCCATAGGATACAGTGAACATGGCTTTAGAAGAAAAGGAATTACTAAGCCTGTTCTCAAAATGTATGCTATTTGTTTTAAACCATTTACTTGGTAAGTGCTTTGGCTCTGTATATATCAATTTTGGAATGTAATTAAAGCACTGTGGTTTAATTTTAATTCTGTCATATAAAGCTGGTTAGATGTTGTCAATTACATGAATAATCAAGAATAACTCTACTGGTCTTGAAACAGTATGGTGGGATATTTTACTTCTAGAGAAACAGTAGACAGGACCTTGGTTTTTTATTTTATCTGAAAATGTCACCTCTGACTGATAGTGCAGAACTCGTTTGGTACTGCATCATCCTAGGAACTTGAACACAGGTTTTTGAGCGGAATTCGAAAACCAGAATTTCTAACATAGTGGTCAGGGAACTATTAACTGAGCGAGGGGTAAAATTATCATGAGGCAGAATAAAATTTGTTGATGATAGCACCAAGGTGTGTAGCTCCTGTCTTGCACTTATTAGGTATGTATGATTTGAATACATGCAAAGGTCTTCACCAGAGGACCGTTGTTTCTGCCTGCTGCCCCAGCATGCCCATTGGGCATAGTTGATATCGAGATCTGTATTGAGGCTGATGGCGAGATATCATCAGGAGATTTGGTGGAAATAGCCAGTACAACCAACTAGTTACCTTGCTATCTGACAGTGGTCAGCTGTTGACGGAGCTAGGGCTTTTTTCATTGGAGTGAAGAAGGATGAGAGGTGACTTGATAGAGATTTACAAGATAATAAGAGGCATAGATAGAGTGGATAGTCAGAGATTTTTTTCCAGGGCGGAAATGACTATTACGAGGGGGCATAATTTTAAGGTGATTGGAGGAAGGTATAGGGGAGATGTCAGAGGTAGGTTCTTCACACAGAGAGTGGTGGGCATGTGGAATGAGCTGCCGGCAGTGATAGTGGAGTCAGACACTTTAGAGACTTTTAAGCGACTCTTGGATAGGCACATGGAGGATAGTAAAATGTAGGGTATGCAGGGTAGATTGATCTTAGTAGGATAATAGGTCGGCACAACATCGTGAGCCAAAGGGCCTGTACTGTGCTGTACTGTTCTGTGTTGCCACAAATCAGTGGAGTGTTTTGAGGAGTTAAGCAGTTAGAATCCCTACATAGTGTGGAAACAGACTATTCGGCCCAACAAGTCCACAGATCTCCCCCCCCACCCCCCGAAGAGCATCCCACCCAGACGCATTCCCATGTCTAACCCACATAACCTAAGCACTATGGGCAATTTAGCATGGCCAATCCACCTACCCTGCACATCTTTGGACTGTAGGAGGAAACTAGAGCACCTGATGGAAACACACACAGACACGAGGAGAATGTGCAAACTCCACACAGCCTGAGGTGGAATTGAATCCAGGCCCCTGGTGCAGTGAGGCAGCAGTGCAAACCACTGAGCCACCGTGCCGCCCTCAATTGTTGTATGAAATTTTCTTGAGTGAGTGGTCAGTAACTTGAATTACATAAAGAATATTTTAAATAACTGGAAACTGTGTGTAACTCCTTCTTCTGATGAATAATTCCCTAAAAATTAACAATGGCACTTTGCCTCAAATAGTCTTGAATTTCCTCAATGTTTCTTTCACTATAATTCCATCTGACTACTTTTGTGGATCTTTACTGATTGACAGTCTATATTAGAAATTTGGCTACAGTTGCTATTTTCTGATGTCCTTGACTGGATTTATAAATTTGGAAGCTGAGCCCTAAAATGCCTACGCTCAGAAAATAAAGCAAATCAATGATGATGGCACAAATGGCATTGAAATTTTAACCCTATTGATTTTAGGTTATAATTTCTTAACATCAAAGTAAAGCCTTCAACATAATGACAAAATACGTACTTTTATTAGGTAACTAGCACTTAAACTTTGTTTCACCAATATAGTTAATAATTACATTGACTCATAGCACAGGTTTTGTGTCCAGTGTGTTGATATGATGCATTTAGTGAGTGACTGAGTAAAGACAGACCTAGTAGATTCTTGCTTCAATGTGCTAGTTTGCATCTCATTTTTGGGCTATACCACTGGCAAGCAGCAATGTGAACAAAGGGAGCCAAATGTGTTTCTGGGCCCTGATTTTACAGCTTTTTTGACAAATCCCCAGCTGTGCTTTCTCATGGTAACACATGGAAGCTGGTTGTCTCACAACCCCAAACTAAAGCTTACAAATTTTGACCTCCTGCAGCTGAACATGGGCGTAAGTTTCTCTGCAAGACGCCAAGCCTGATGAGAATGGATCACTGAAGGAAAAATATTATACATTTATCTGGCAGGGAAGAGTACAGAGCAAGTGCATGAGCAAGGTATAGGCTTTGCTGCATGGAAACTCTACTCGTAGTAATAGAATCTTCTCGTGAAATATTTCAGGCCACATTCTCTCCATCTGTCTCATATCTTAAACTGGGTCCTTCACTGTAGCTGGGTCAAAATCCTGGAATTCCCTCCTAAGGGCATTGTAGGTCAACCTACAGCAGGAGGACTGCAGCGGTTCAAGAAGGCAGCTCACCACCCTCCTGTCAAGGGCAACTAAATGCTGGCCAGTCAGTGATGCTGTCATCCCACAAGTTAAAAAAAGACCTCATGAGTAGCTATGCTGTAGTGTTCTCTTCCACGACATTTTTCATGTTTTCACGGAAGCAAAAGACAAGTTTTACAAGGAACGTGGCACTGCAAATAGCAGAATTCCTAAGACACATAGTTTGAATTTACTGGGGCTTTTCAACACAAGAGCTGATGCAGATCGTGAGACATGAACTTCCTGCTATGGTCATCGTGGCTTGGGAAAGATAAATGGGAATGAACAGCGACTATTTGAATTTTGTTGGTACTGCAAACTCTGAGGCACAAACAGCTTCTTGTAATAAACCTTGCTGCAAGAGATCCCTGACAGCAGATCAGAGCATTAGCTGCATCTGGATTTGATAATCACAAGACATTCCTCTTTAAACAGTATTCTTAGCACTCATTGCTACCAAATCATTTCTGGGTGTGCACCATGGTTAGGCTACACCCCTTTAAATGCTATTCTCATTTCAACATCAGCCATACAGTGCCCAGATAAAAACAAATAGCTCCTCAATGCAATTGAACAGACGTTCTCTGGCATTTCAACACAGTGTGCAGAAGTGAAATGCCAGAGAATACTGTGAGGCACTGTCTAAGATACCATACTTTGAACATATGGGAAGTGATCAATAAACATCCTGACTGCTTCAATGCTAACATTGCTCTGAGGGAAGTTGCCATCGAAGCTAAATGATCCCTCTCATTATTTACAAGAGTTCCAACCAACGTCACTGAATGCACAATAGCCACTCTAAATAAAGTCCATAAGGCAGCCAGTGACTACTGGTAATAACATTAGCAGAATTTTCAGATGTACTTTGACACAGGGAATATTAGGGGCATGTATTGATCAAAAAGACAACAAATGTATCAGCAAAGAGACCAAAAGTAGAGGAGGTCATCAACTGCAGTAAATAATTCAAATGATGATTCAAACTCTATCATGAGTTATACTCGGGAGAACATTGTCGTTGTAGAAGCTCCAGACACCATAGAAAGCTTCTCAATCGTACCAAGAAAGCTTGTGGCGTACCAAGATATGCAGCTTACTACAGCTGTTGACTTGATTGTTAGAGGCAAAGTTCCAGGTCCTGATGTCATACTTTCTGGACAAATTAAGCAGAAAAATCTGTCACTTCTGCAGAATCTGCATGAACATCTTGACCTTAGGATATGCATGGTGCAAATGTTGCCTCTATCTCTTCACGTCTTCTCTCTCCCCTTACTTTCCCCTCACTCCCACATGCTGTCTTCCCCCCTCTGTCCCCACCTCTTCTTCCCCCTGACTCCTTTTTTCACTGGCCTCCCCCTTGTCTTTGGTCTCTTTCCCCCTCTCTCTTCTCCCTCTTGCTTTTTCTTCCTTTTATCTTTTTCTGTCTCTCCCCATGCTTTTTCACTCTCCCCTCGTGGACTTTCTTTCCCCTCATGATCTTGCTCTCCCTTCTCACTCCTTCGCTCTCCTCTCACCCTCTGTCTCCCCTCCCTCTCTCACTCTCACCCACCCCCCTCACTTCCCTCCCTCTCTTTCTTTCCCCACTTTCTCCTTCTCTGTCTCTGTGCCCCTGTCTCTCTTCCCTCCCCTTCCGTCTCTCTCCCCCCCTCACCTCTTTTCCCTCTCCCTTGTCTTCTCCCTCCCTCCATCTCTCTCCCCTCTCCATATATCTCCCCACCCCCTCTTCCCCCCAACCACCACCACCACCTCACTCTCTCCTTTCAACGTCTCCACTTCCCTGAAAGACTGCAGATTCAACAACACTCAAGCTTGTCACCATCCAGGACAAACCAACCCACTTGCATGCGACCACATCCACAAACATCCACTGACTCCACTGCTGATGATCTGTAGCAGCACTGTTCACTACCTAAAAAATGTACTGCAGTAATTTGCCAAAGATCCTTAGACAATACCCTCCAAACCCACCAGCACTTATATCTAGATGAACAAGGGCAACAGATACAAGGGAACATCACAACCTGCAAGTTTATCTCTAAGCTGGTTGCTGGATCAAAATCCTGGAATCCCTTCCCTAATAGCACTGTGGGCTCATCTACAGCACATGTATTGGAGGGGTTCAGTGTGGTAGCTGACCACCACCTTGAAGGGCAACAAATGCTGGCCAGCCAATAATGCTCATCCCATGAGAGAATAAGAAAATCTACCTGTTATACCTGCATACTTGCTTTCTGCAATTCAGGCATGAAGACACCTTCTGCACTTTTGAAGTCTCTGTCCATTTGGATAATAAGTTGCTTTTTAATTCCTCTGACAAAAATGGATACACTCTCACTTTATCTCTATCTGCCAAACATTGGCCTATTCTGCCCACCTCTTCATAACCATTTGTAAACTTATTTTTTCTTCATTGCACCCCACTTTCCTACCTTTTTAGTTTCAGCTACAAATTTGGCTACAGTGTGTTCTATTCCTACACCCAAATAATTTGAACTGAGGACTGAACCCTGTGACAACCCCTTAAAGAGTTGCATTTTTCCAATTTTCTGGAACTTTTCCGGAAACCAGGGAGTCTTGAAATGTTCTAACCAGTGCATCCACTGCCTCTACTGCTGCTTTCCTTCAAGATCCTATGATATAGGCAATCAGGCTCTGAGGACTTGTCTGCTTTTAATCTCAATAGTTTACTCAGTACTTTTTCCTAAGTGATGACGATTGTTTTAAATTCCACCTTTACTATTGGGCTGGTTTCTGTGTTCTCCACCATGAAAAGTGAGGCAAAATAATGCTTGGTGTCTTTGCCATTTCTGTGTTCACTGTTATTAACTCCCCAGTCTCATCTTCTCAGGGACCAACATCCATTTTAGCTACTATTTTCCTTTTTATATTCTTATAGAAGTTTTGCTACCATTTTTATGTTTTGTGCTAATTTTCTTTCATAATTAACCTTTGCTCTTTTTATTACGTCTTTTTAGAAACTCTGTTGGTCTTTAGAAGTTTCCCAATCCTCCAGACTGCCACTGACTTTTGCAAAATACTATGTCTTAGTTTTTGCCTCTCTGTTATCTTTAACTTTGTTGCTTAGCCATAGATGCTTTTTCCCCTTCTTACAATCTTTCTTTCTTCCTGGAATGTATTTTAATTGGATGGAATTGCATATCTTTTTAAATGTCTGCCAATGACCTTATCAACATATACCAGGTAAGAGAAAATGCTGAACAATTTCCAACTTTTCAGTCTTGGATGCATCCTTGGGATTTCTCAGGGTAAGGTCATCAATCGAAAGGTCTTATAGCATTCTGACCCTATACCCAAAGGCCTTCGTATAGTGAACTGCTTACTGCTAACAACCGCTTATGCATATATACCCTCACTACAAAGGCATCTGCAAGGGAAGTAGTAAGATGATGAATGTTAACATTGAAAGTTGAGAGATGATGACTGATCCTTCTGAAAAGGCACAAATAAATTAAGAGCTTAGTTGGCTGAGGATAAAGGTCAATTGATCGTATACCTTTTCAGCTCGCTGTTGTCATCTACAGCAAATGTGGCAGAGGCATCCATGCCAGTGTCAGGGCTCCTGACTCATACTGGCAACACTGAACAGAGTTGATTGCCATGGAACAAGTCATCATAGAGTCATGGAGATGTACAGCATGGAAACAGCCCCTTCGGTCCAACTTGTCCATGCCAACCAGATATCTTCAATTAATCTAGTCCCATTTGCCAGCATTCCTCAAATTCCTCTAAACTCTTCCTATTCATGTACCCGTCAGATCTTAAGAGATGGAAGATTGTTAGTGCAATTATGTGCTATGATTGATTCTAATTGTCTGAGACTTGAGCATTGAAGGTATAGAAGTAGCGCAGAGGCTGATTTCTAGCATCAGATGAGTTATAAGGGAGATTAGAAATTTGAGCCACTTGCTCTTGAAAATAAGTTACTGGGGAAGATCTTCGGGAAATAGTGAGCTTTAAAGAAAAGGTAATTGAAGTTATTACAAGTTTTTGGGACCAAAGAATTTCAGGTTAAACTTTTGCAGATTTGTTTAGATGTGATATCAAAAAGTTCACCTTCATACAAAAATAGTCATACACTTGGACGATTGAATATGCCAGTGAAAGTAAAAGCTATGGATTAATTCAAGGAATAGTTTGAAGTTGTCTAGTTTTTCTTGATGGGTGAGGTGCTTGGCACTTATTTTTCGTACAAATGTTGAAAAACTTTTCAGGAAGTTTCCTGAATTGTATGCAGAAGTTTGATTGGATTTCTTTTCTCAAGCAGCCTGGTTGAGATTGAGAACTATCATTCTCAAACTTAATGCACTATTATGATTTACTTTGGATCAGGGATGCAGTACTTTGTGGTGACATTTCTTTTTATAGAATCCCTACGTGGTGGAAACAGGCCATTTGGCCCAATAAGTCCACACTGCCCCTCCGAAGAGCATCCCACCCTGACTCATTCCCCTGCTCCTGCATTTCCCCATGTCTAACCCAGACTTCCCTGAACACTATGGGCAATTTAGGATGGCCAATCCACCTAGCCTGCACATCTTTGGGCTGTAGGAGGAAACTGGAGCACCCAGAGGAAACCCATGCAGACACGGGGACAACGTGCAAACTCCACAGAGACACGGTGGAATTGAACCCAGATCCCTGGTGCTGTGAGGCAGCAGTGCTAATCACTGAGCCACTGTGCTGCAACAGTAATCTTGTAATCCAACAGTTTAATCTGAAGTACTTAAAGGAGCAATGATAGTTCTGAGGAAAAATCTACATGTATTACGTGTATTAAGTACAATAAATCTTTTGTATCCTCTTCATTAAGAGTGCCATTCCAGGATCTTTTCCTTTCATGAACATACATGAAGTAGGAAATACTCCAAATTTAATTGTAGCTGTTCAAAAATAATGGTTGAAAGGATACATTCATATACGGAAGATTAATGTAATATAGTACTCATAGTCATTAATGGAAGACTTTAGTTACAAAAAACCTTTTAACACTGCACATATCAAAAAAGTTATGGATACATATATAATGCAGAACTACAATTTCATTAGTTTCTCATCAACATTTAAAATCTTCCTCACTTTTGGGTGTCATTCAGTTCAGCAATTGACGCTAATGTTAAACATTTTGTGCCTGCTGCTTGAGTTCCATGTTGCTAAATCTGTATGTGGAATGTTACAGCATTGCAGGAGGAAGTTTAGAGCTACAAGTTGATTGTTCCAAGGATGCTTAATGAACCATTTTTACTGTTTTATTTTAGTTGTTTCTTTATGTTGTAGAATTCCAATCAAAACATTAAAATGTTTAATATTGAAAATACAGGTTCAGCAAATGTCCCAACCATCATTGAACATTTTACCTGCATCAACAAGCTTACCCGAGAAAAGAGATCCACAATCTGTGGATGTTCTTGCAGGTCACATGGTGGCTGTAGAAACAAACAAAGTGGAAACATGCTACAAAGAAACATTAGAAAATATCGAAGCAAAGCTTTCTACTGCAGATGAAAAGGAGCTCAGAATAAAAGAGGTATACTGTTATACTATCTATAAGTGTGTACATTGTGTTTCATACTTTTATGATGCCAGATAACATAGCTACATTTAACAAAATGATTCAGGACCAGTAACAACTTTTCTAAAAGTAGACAACATTCTGAAGTACCAGATATATATATATATCACACACACACACACACACAAACGTGACAGGCAATGGTTGAACACTCCGCAGAGCACATTACATTGTGGGAACTGTCAAGTTAGATCCCACGATTTTGTATGGCTCACCCAGCTGTTATTTACACTGTGGGACTCCAAACCTTGTTAAAACATTTCCCAATGGGCATAAAATGTTCATTTCTAAAGATCTAACCTCTAAACATCTTCAAAATTGTTCCAACCCAGACTGCTTCAACAACTGCTCAATTCCTAGTAGTTAAATCCTAGCTTTAGAGAACAGCTTCCCTGGGTTTTCTGACACTGCTGATAAACATCAATTACTGACACTACTTCAGCAGTTTTGCCAACAGCTGGCTTTCACAAGCTGCTGCTGCTTTCTAGCATTTCCTTGCTGAACCACCAACTCTGTAGCTGACAGCTTCCTTTCCAGTTCACTAAGCTGATAAGTATGCTAAGACTTCCCGAAGTGACCAACTGCTCATCAGTGTGAAGCTGCCAAACAGCTCCTTGTGGGCTTCATTGAGTTAACTAAACATAGAACTTTTCCTGGATGGAACCTCTTCCCTAAATCCTGGTTGACTCACTGACTAAAACTGATCGACCTTTAAATTGCAATTCACTGACCTTTAAACTGATTGGAGTGACCTGCTGAAAAAGTTGCAACAAACCCTGCTGTTGTTCACAGGTAGCATCAAATGTAACCAACACTGAAACATCTTGTGCCTTAAATGCCATAACCTAGCAGGCTGCTAGCTTCCACAGCATATATGAATATAGAAAAAAATGGATTTTATCACCATGGTCATTGGTTTCAAAAATAGTCCACATTTAAAGAGAATATATTTTCACTACTGATGTATTTCCTTGTGGGGATGATGAGTGGCTTGGAAGGAAAATTGCAAGTGGTGGTGTTCCCATGTGTCTGTTGATTTTGTCCTTTATAGATGGAAGTGGTTGTGGGTTTGGAAGATACTGTCTGAGGAACCTTGGTGGATTTCTGCAGTGCATCTTATTAGAATAGTATACATTGTTGCTACTGAGTGTCAGTGGTGGAGGGAGTGGTTGTGATGCCAATCAAGTTAGTTGCTTTTTCCTAGATGGTATCAGGCTTCTTGAGTGTTTTTGGAACTGCACCAATCCAGGCAAGAGGGAACTGTTCCATCACACTCCATACTTGTGCCTCTTGGATGGTGGACAGACTTTGGGAAGTCAGGAGGTAAGTTACTCCTTGCTGTATTCCTAGCCTCTGACCTGCTCTTGTTGCCCCTGTATTTATATGGCGAGTTATGTTGAATTTCTGGCCAATGGTAATCCCCAAGATATTGATGGTGAGGGATTCAGTGATGGTAATGCCATTGAATGTCAAGAGACTGTGGTTACCTTGACTCTAATTGGAGATTGTCATTGCTTGACATTTTGAGTGGTGCAAATGCTACTTGCCACTTGTCGGCCTAAGCCTGGATATTATCCAGATCTTGTTGCATTTGAACATGGATTGGTTTGGTACCTGAGGAGTCATGAATGGTGCTGAAGATTGTGCAATCATTGGCGAACACTTCACTTATGACCTTATGATGAAGGGAAGGTCATTGATGAAGAAATTAAAGATGTTTGTAGCTAGGATACTACCCTGAGATATCCTGGAGCTGAAATGACTGACCTCTAGTAACCACAAATATCTTCCTATATGCCAGGAACGACTCCAACCAGCGGAGAGTTACCCCCCTGATTTCCACTGATTCCAGTTTTCCTAGGACTTCTTGATGCCACACTCAGTCGAATGCGGTTTCGATGTCGAGGGCTGTCAGTCTTGCCTCACCTCTGGAATTAAGCTCCATTGAACGTGTTTGAATCAAATCTGTACTGAGATCAGGAGTGGAGTGACCCTGGCAGAATCCAAAGTGGGTGTCACTAGGCAGGTTATTGCTGAGCAGGTGCTGCTAGTAGCATTATTGAATACATATTCCATCACTGATGATCAAAAGTTGACTGATCAGATGGTAATTGGCTGGGTTGGACTTACAGGATTTACCTGGGTAATTTTCCACAATGTTGAGTAGACCCCACTGTTGTAACTGTACTGGAAGAGGTTGGCTAAGGTAGTGGAAAGTTCTGGAGCACAGGTGTTCTGTACTATTGCCGGAATGTTATTAGGGCCTGCAATCTTTGCAGTATCCTATGCCTTCAGCTGTTCTTGATATCATGTGGAATGAATTGGATTGGCTGGAGATTGGCATCTGTGATGCTGGGGATGACTGTAGGATCCTAAGGTGGATAATCCACTTTGCATTTCTGGCTGAAGATTGCTGCAAATGCTTCAGCCTAATCTTTTTCACTGTTGTGTTAGGCTCGCCCATCATTGAGGATGGAGATAATTGTGGAGCCTCCTCTTCCAGTGAGACTTTTAATTGTACACCGTCATTCCTGAATGAATGTGGCAGGACTGCAGAGATTAGGTCTGATTCCTTGATTATGGGATTGCTGAGCTGTGTCTATCACTTGCTGCTTATGCTGTTCGGCATGCAAGTAGTCCTGTTGATACCTAATTTTTAGATTTGCCTGATGTTGTAAACAAAAAGAAAAGATAGTGGCAGAGTCGGGCATGAACCAAACTAGAGTTTAAATTGGTCATGTTGCACCTGAGTGGTGACTCATAGGATAGATGGACAAAATAGAAATTATTGGAGATACTCAGCAGGTCTGGCAGCATCTTTGTAGAGAAATCAAGTTTAACTGTTCTGAATCCAGTGACTCCTCTTCAGGATCGGTTTGAGCTCTGAAGAAGGATCACTGGACTTAAAACATTAACTGTGCTTTGTCTTCACAGATGCTACCAGAACTGCTGAGTTTCTCCAGCAATTCCTGTTTTTGTTTCAAATTTGCAGCATCTGCAATTCTTTGTTCTATTTCCATGGAATAGAGGGAGGCTTAATTTCGAGCTTACTGTTCCCACCAGGGTTGTGACAGATTTAGGAGCAGAATGCAAAATCAGTCTGATCTAAAACTTGCATTTTAATTTTTAAAGTCTTTTCTCAGATGTGCCCGGTCCTGTAATACTAGTCATGAGCAAATTGCAGTCCTTCACTCAGTTAACATAAATTTAACTTTGCTGTGTCAGACTCAACACAGCAGGGCTGTCCAGACATTTGTCTTTGTTTAGGCAACTGCCTTGGAGTTTCAGGGGCCACACAAAGTTAAGATTTGTGTTCCATTCACCTAATGGAATGCTGTTCTGATTTTTTCTATTTATCTACTGTTGAGACAAAAGTGTGGTTTTTCTCTGAGGGGAGAAGAAAAGCTTCCCTGACCACCAAGTTTGTAAAATCCAAACAAGAGAAATCGGCAACTCAGCAAAAGGAAATTATACTGTTTTTATGGTCATTTGCAGAGCTTCAAGGGTGTGGCTGTGCTTTGTGGCTGAGTTTATCGATGTGCCTAATCCTACCTCTACTTCAGACATGTCAGATCATTGACATGAACACTACCATCACCCACGATGTGCACGGCAGATACTCATGTGACTCGGCCAGCATTGTCAATCTCATGTGCTGCCGGCAAGGATACCCTGAGGCATGGTATATTGGTGAAATAGTGCTACGACTACGGATGACTGGGCACCGCGCAACAGTCGCCAGATGGGGGTGTTCCCTCCCAGCGGGGTTCACCTCAGAGGTCTAGGACATTCGGCCTTGGATCTTTGGGTAAACGTCCTTCTAGGTGGACTTTGGGATACACAACAACGCAGAGTCGCCGAGCAGAGGCTGATTGCCAAGTTCGGTATCCAAGAGGATGGCCTCAACCGGGATCTTGGGTTCATGTAGCACAACAGGTGACCTCACCATGCTATACATTGTCTCTCACACACACGCACAGACACACACACACTCACACTGACCCTCATACACACATAAATACAATCTCTCACTGTCTCTCCCGCTGTCTCTCTCTCTCCCACAACCCCCCTCTCTCCCACAACCCCCCTCTCTCCCACAACCCCCCTTTCTCCCATTCCCCACCCCCCCACACCCCCCTCTCTCCCACAACCCCTCTCTCAATTACAGATCCATTCTATTTTGTTCAAAAAGCACACAATTTGTAGACAGTTAATGTGGCATTTTATAAATTCCTACTTTGGCAATAAAACCAGTCTGATTCCAAGTTGATACACAGCCAGATTCTAAACAAGGCCTCATACCTAAAATGCATTGTCTGACCTGGGATGGTCACCTCTGGTATACTGAAGGAACTTATAAAACCTTTAGTTATCTCGGGGCAGTGACTTGAAAGAAATTTGGAACTTTGCATATTAATCCTTTCTAACTGATTAAAGATCTTAGGTTTGTTCAACACTGCATCAGCTCTATGATCCTTTGATCTTTTGCTTTTAAATTCTGTGTCCGAGTTCACCTCGCTCACTGACACCCGAAGAAGGAGTAAGACTCCGAAAGCTTGTGTCTTCAAGTAAACCTGTTGGGACTATAACCTGGTGTCGTGTGATATTTGACCTTGTCCATCCCAGTCCAACAACAGCACCTCCATGTCATCACTACTTCAGAGTGGTCTGGTTCTGCAGTTCCTGTCTGATTGAAAAGGAGGGAGGAGCTCAAGAAAATTCCAATTATCAGGAAATCGCTGAGTTCTGATGTATTTCATCCTAGGGTCTTGAAAGAAGTAGCTTGTGAGATAGTTGATGCTTTGGTTTTAATTTTCTAAAAGTCATTAGATTCTGGGAAGGTTCGTTTAGAATGGAAAATAGCTAAAAAAGGAAGAGAGGCAGAGAACATGTAACTGCAGGCCAGTTAGCTTCACATCTATCATAGGGAAAATATTGGAAGGTATTATCAAAGTGCCTTGTTATAATATCTTTAATAAGTTCAAGGTAATCAGATACAGCCAACATGATTTTGTCAAAGAGAAATGAAGTAACTTGGCCTGTGATTAAAGAGAAACCACTGGATGTATTGTACTCAGATTTCCAAAAAGCATTTGATAAGGTGCCACATCAAAGGTTATTGTGAAAAATAAAAACTCATGGTGTTGGGGGTGACATATTGGCACGGATAGAAGATTGGCTGGCTAACATGAAGCAGAGTGTAGAAAAAATGGGTCTTTTTTTAGGTTGGTTATCATGAGTGGTGTGCCTCAGGGGTCAGTGTTGTGGCCTCAACTCCTATAATTTATATAAATGATTTGGGTGAAGGGGCCAAAGGTATCGTAGCTAAATTTGCTGATGACGAAGAATCGGTACGAAAGTAGGCTGTGAAGAGGAAGTAATGAGCTTACAAAGGGATAAAGATAAGTTAAGTCAGTGCGCAAAGATCTGGCAAATGGAGTACAACATGGGAAAGTGTGACATTATCCATTTTGATAGAAAGAATAAAAAAGAAGTGTGTTGTCTAAATGGTGAGAAGCTGCAGAGTTCTGAGATGCAGAGAGCTTTGAGTGTCCTAGCGCATGAATGGTTTAGTATGAATAGCTAGTATTGCAAGTAATCAAGAAAGCTAAAAGGATCAAGTTTTATTGCAAGAGGAATTGAGTGCAAGACTGGGGAGGTTATGCTTCAGTTATAGAGGGCATCAGTGAGATCACATCTGGAATACTGTGTATAGAACTGGTCACTACTTATGGAAGGATGTTAATGCATTGGAAGCAGTTCAGTGAAGGTTTACTGGACCAATATCTGCAATGAGCAGATTGCCTTATGTGGAAAGATGAGACAGGCTAGTCCTGAGTCTTCTGATGTTGAGAAGAGTCAGAGCTGACTTAATTGAAGCATGTAAGATCCTGAGGGGACTTGACTGCTTCTTCATGTGGGAGAATCTCGAACTAGGGGGTCACAGTTTAAAAATAAGGTGTTGCCATTTAAGAGAGATGAAGAAAAGAAATTCTCTTGAAGGGTTGAGTGTCTTTGGATTCCCTTCAAAGAACAATTAATACAGACTCTTTCAATCTTTTTAAGGCAAGAGTAGATAGATTCTTGATTATCAAGGAGATGAAAGATTATTGTAATTATGCAGGAATGCAGAGGTGAGGTTAAACTCAGATCAGGTCTTATTGAATGGCAGAGCAGACTTGAAGGGCTGAATTGCCTACCTTGGTTACTTGTTCACATCATTCTAAATAATCACGTATGTTATTTTTCCTAATCATGATGGCCACAACATCACCACTATTCATAACCATTAATGACGTGAGCAGAAAGACCTCAACTTCTTTCTACCTCAACTACAAATTATATTCTTTCTGTAATTCAACTAGTAATGGGAATGCAAACGTAGACAACCTTAACAATAAGGTTCTTGTCAATCTGTGTCAGGTGTAGTCATGTTCAGAATTTGTGTTCACTCTTGTAATATTTTGGTAAGTTTCCCCAGTTACTGATGTTGGACACAAACACCATTCAAATTTGCTGACTGCCTGCAAAGTAAATAGGCATTGAATGAGTTTCCAATCAGATTAAGCCAATAATTTTGCTATTGAATAGTATTGGTATTAAGGAATATATCATAATTGAATACTTAATCTCCTTACTAAAAAGTCAATACATTTAGCAGTTCAAGTCATTCACCATGACCTTCACCAAGAGAACAGAGTTGATTTGGCTTATTCACATTCAAATTATCCTGATGCCACATGGGCAGCACGGTGGCTCAGTAGTTAGCACTTCTGTCTCACAGCGCCAGGGACCCGGGTTCAATTCCACTCTCGGGCGACTGTCTGTGTGGAGTTTGCACATTCTCCCCGTGCCTGCGTGGGTTTCCTTCGGGTGCTCTGGTTTCCTCCCACAGTCCAGAGATGTGCAGGTTAGTTGGATTGGCCAGGCTAAATTGTCCGTAGTGTTCAGGGATGTAGATTGGGTGGGTTATAGGGGGATGGTTCTGGGTGGGATTCTCCAAGGTTCGATGTGGACTTGTTGGGCCAAAGGGCCTGTTTCCATACTGTAGGGATTCTATGATAACTGATCTAGATGCTCCAATTGTCAAAATTTAAACTTTAAAAATTAAAAAAACAATGTCAGCAGTAAAAATGTGCTCGGATACTAATGCCAACTTGCCTAGTGCAGCACTTTATATCTGGATGAAAATACACAGGCAGAATGGAATACAGAGCACTCATACTGGACTTTTTTTGTGTTAACCTGAATTTAGCACCAAAAATAACATAATAAAGGAAAGAAAACAGAAAAGATGTGAATCTTTTTCTTTAATTATGCATTTGTGGGACGTGGGCATCGCTGGCTGGCCAGCATTTATTGCCTGTCTCTAGTTGCCCTTGAGAAGGTGGTCTTGAGCTGCCTTCTTGAACTGCTGCAGTCCACCTGCTGTGGGTTGACCCACAATTCGATTAGGGAGGGAATTCCAGCATTTTGACCCAGCAGCAGTGAGGCAATGGTGATATATTTCCAAGTCAGGATGGGAAGTGGTTTGAAATGGAACTTGATGGTGGTGGTGTTCCCATATATTTGCTGCCCTTGTCCTTCTAGATGGAAGTGGTGTTGGGTTTAGAAGGTGCTGTCTGAGGATCTTTGGTGAATTTCTGCAGTGCACCTTGTAGATAGTACACGCTGCTGCTCCTGAGCGTCAGTGGTGGATGGCATGCATGTACTGCCAATCAAGCGGGCTATTTTGTCCCAGATGGTGTCGAGTTTCTTAAGTGTTGTTGAGGCTGCACTCATCCAGGCAAGCGGGGAGTATGCCATCACTCCTGACTTGTGCCTTGTAGATGGTGGACAAGTTTTGAGGAGTCAGGAGGTGTTTACTTGCTACGGTATTCGTAGTTTCTGACCTGTTCTTATAAATGGTGTGTTTATGTGGTGAGTCCAGTTGAGTTTCTGGTCAATGATAATTCCCAGGATGTTGATAGTGGGAGATTCAGTGATGGTAACACTGTTGAAAGCCAAGCTAGCTAGCACTGTTGATGACACCTTCCATCACTTTACTGATGATTGAGAGTAAACTGATGGGGTGTTAATTGGCCGGTTTGGATTTGTCCTGCTTTTTATGTACAGGACATGTGGGAAATTTTCCACATTGTCAGGTAGATGCCAGTGTTGTAACTGTACTGGAATAGCTTGGCTACGAGAGCCAAGTCTAGCTCATTTTGTCACCTACTTGATCTTGCATGACTTTAAGAAGATAGATAATATAGGTTAGCTAATTTTCCCAAGTTGACATTGTGTCATATTTCTGTGGTAAACTGTATTGTATGTTCTTGATTGTTAAATTCTTCTAAAACTAATTCAATGAATTGCAGGAAGTGTTTGAGAAGTATTCAAAGTTAGAGGAACATCTGCAAGAAGGAAAAACAGAGGAAATTTCATATGAAGATTCCTACAATCAGCTCCAGGTAATGAATACGTGTATGAGTACCTGAGCATTATTTGGGTTGTGTAAAATGCTCAGTTTATACGTGAAACTTCTGTATTGATCATGTTAAATCCATGGATTATCTTTACTGCTGACATTGTCTTTTAATTTTAAAATGGTCACTTTTGACCTTTGGAGCATCTAGATTAGTAATGTGGCATCAGGATAATTTGGATGCACATAGGCCAGGTCAACTGTGTCCTCTTGGAGAAGGGCACAGTTCATTATTTGAACTGCCAAATGTACTGACGTTTTAGAAGGGAGAGGAAGTAAGTATTCAGTTATGATATTTTCCTTGCATTTACTGATTCAAGCTTGAGCACATAGAAATGCTGCTAAGTACCTCTTTGGTACAAGAAAATTGATGTTGAATTTAAAATGATGGAAGTCACAGTGTTGTAAGGCTTAAAAATGTGAAACTGAGGCAGCTTAGAGGCACAGTTGCAGGTCGTATTTTTGTTGTTGTGAAGTCCTATCTCGGTGAGATTCCAGCCACTTTCATGGAGGTGACAGGAAGATATGATAGATTTTCTCAGTGGGGGTAGGAGAAACAAAATATGATCATAAAATAAATCTTAGCAGTTGGCATCATTAAGCTGTCGGAGCTTTGGTAGACTCAGCTACCAGCTGGTCAGTCAAAAGCAATGCTTGTCTAGTACAGAAGAATCCAAGAAGTTTGGCCTAGTGATATTTTTTGACGGTTGTACATTATTTTGTGTGCCACCCAGTACTTCTCAATTTCAAACATTGTGTTATTTCCTCATACCTGCAGCCCATGCATTCAAGAATAATGCTAAATAGGTTATTTATTATCATTATTGTTTCTGTTGACTGAACAATATGCCAGCTGTAAAAAGAAAAATCTGTTAATCTTGTCTTTGAAAATTTATACAGTGGTTCAAGTCCTGTACTATGAACAGTATGATGGTAAAGACCATATACTGAAAGTAATCAATTGCCTTTGCCTGTGACTGATTTTAAATAAATGTGAAAATGTAACTAGGAATTAATTACTGCATTATTTTTTACGAATAATGTTTAAACATTTTGAATAAGCAATGATTTATTAATAAATTCCTTGAAATTGCGGCAAAATACTGAGAAGAGAATGGAAGATCTCAATAGTTATGAGTAAACTACTGCAACATCACAAAGTATACAGTGATTGATTACTGTGATTTAGTAGAGGAAGGTTTTTTTATGCATGTTTGCTAGAATGAAATAGTCAACACTTATTCCTAAGGTTTTAAGATTAACTAGTACAATGAAATATTGAACAGTAGAAAATTTGGCACAGAGGTCTGTCGGCCTATTGTGCATGTGTTCCTGTTAGCTTTTCAACTGGATTTCTGTAATTGCATTCCTTTATTGTTTCACTGTATCATTAAGCAAGTGAAGGACTGAAAGTTGCTCAACCTTTGCTTTCCATTTCTATTTAGGTGGACTTCTGTAATTGCATTCCTTTGTCTCTTCACTGTATCATTAAGCAAGTGCGGAATTGGAAGTTGATCAACCTTTGCTTTCCATTTCTATTTAGAAGGAACTCCTTTCCTAACAAACTTGATGGACTTTATTACTTCAGTTGAAATGTTTCTTTTAACCAGTAATTTCAGTATCTCTCTCCTGTTCATCCACTGTAACTTCAGTGGAAGCTCCGACAACTAGGATAAGTGGTTGCATAAATATGCTTCTGTGGCGTTTGCCAATTTTGAACCAAAAATTATGGCTGGTATCCAAGAACCTCCTCACAATTCCCTAAATTCTTAGTCCAACCAAAATTGATGTGCTTTTTAAAAAGTCACATGTTCCATGAATCGGCATCTAAGCTCTGAGCTGCTGCTGTTTGAGCAAAAAACGTTAGGCAAGAAACTATATGGTGTGTGAAAAGACATTACACCATTTAGTATTCATGTTAGGATTTACAGATTGGAAGGATGCTTAGAGTGCTCTTTAGATACACCTTGAGCATCTTGCTGATAATCCTGAAACGCACATTTAGCTGTCATTCTTTTACTTTATTATTTAATAGGATGAATGTGTCACTGGCCAGGCCAGAATCTGTTGCCCATTCCTAAGTGCCCTAGAACTGAGTGTCTAGCTCGCCATTCCATAGGCCATTTAGGAATCACTCACATTGTGGGTCTGGAGTCACTTGTAAGCAAAAGCAGGAGAGGAAAGCAGATTTCCTTCCTTAAAGGATAGTAGTGAACACCATGAGTTTTTATAACAAATCTATGATAGATTTGTGGTTGCTATTATTGAGGATAGCTTTATTTTTCAGATTTATACATTTAATTCAAATTCTACTAGCTGCCATGTCCCCACGTTTTTAGCGTGGCCCTCTGGATTACCAATCAGGTGATATCATGACATCACCATCTCCCATGTTTGTAGCAAAGTGAACCAATTCATTTCAAATGTTATGATCCTGAGTTTTTACAAATCATGCTGAACAATTATAAGCAAACTTTATTGAATAGAAACAGGCCAATCAGCCCGACAAGTCCACACCAGTTATTGAAGCTCCACGTAATGCTTCATCCATCTTCTGAGTTCTGAAGCAGAGGCATTCTGGACTTGAAATGTTAACTGTTTTTTCTTCTCCACGGATGCTGCCAGACCTCCTGAGTTCCTTGAGTGTTCTGTTTCCTTGATCTAACCCATATCAATATTCTTTTCTATTCCTTTCTCCCTCATACATACCAAACTTCCCCTTAAATGCTCTATTAGTGGACCAGGATTTGCAGTTTTGTTCCCATTTCAGAGAAAAATATAAATTTATAGAAAATGCAGAAATTTCCTGCTTGAAATATTTGCAGTTTTTTTGAATTAACTAGATTCTCAGGTAAATTGGTAACAAGAGCTTTGAGCGTGACTTTGCAGCATCAAGCAGAAATGTCTGCTTAAAAGAAGCAACTTGCTCAACTGGGAATGCACTAATATGAATGATAGTAATCTGGCAAGTCTGGTTATTGATAATTACATTAATACTTCATAAGTGTTGGGAAAACTGAAGTAATTGTCCTTCGTCCTGATGCACTGACTCCATCTTTCTCCATGGCAACTGTCTGAGGATAAACCAGGTTGTTTGCAACCTTGGTGTCATGCTGAGATGAGCCTCTAGCCAAATATACACATCGCTTAGGGTGTCTATTTCCATTCACTTAACATTGCCTGGTACTGACTCTGTCTCATGTCATTTGCTGAAACTCTGGTCTATGTCTTTATTACCTCTAAAGTTAACTATTCCAATACATTTTTAGCTGTCCAACTCATTGCTTTCTGCATAGGCTTGTGTGTTTATATAACATTCTGCTGTTCTTGTCTTTGTTTGCACTGAGTCACGTTCATCAATTTCTCCTGTGCTTGCCAATGTAAATTGGCTAGTTAAATGGTTTCCAGATTTTTGAACTCTCATTCTTGTTTGCAAATCATTTCAAATGATCTTAAAATGGTTCTCTCTGCTCTCCTTTATCCCTACAGCACTTGAGATATTTGCAGTTCTTGATATCTGCCTCATGAGCATCTTGATTTTAATTAATCCACTTTGCTGGCCATGCTTTCAACTCCAAGGCCATCAGCTCCAGAATTACCTCTCTTAACCTGTCTATATTTCCACCTTCCTCTTTTACAGTTCTCCTTAAATCCTACCTCTTTGTCCAAGCTTTTGGCCATCTATTTTAATAGCTCTTGGAGGAGGGGTTGCTTAGTGCCATGTTTTTCTTTAAACCATCCTATGAAACACCTTTGAATGTTTTATTACATTAATGGCAGTAATAAGATACAAATAATTGTTGCTGCTGGATAGGAATATTCCAAGTCCTTGCACATATCTTTTCGGATGAAATCATTATTTGGGGGCCAAAGATGCAAAACTTTGCATGAAATGCTGTTTGGAATGTTTGAAATTTTGTTTAACTTTATAAACCTAATTGGCTACTTAATCAATCAATGGTGGATTAAAAACTTGAAGATTTAAAGGAAACCTGATATATGTAATTTAAATGTATTTTATGCAGATAGTGGAAGTGGCACGTTAAATTTCTTTTAATGTATACCTGTGTGATTGTAATATTATAGTGAGTCTATGTCATTCGTCCATGGACCATCAAAATTGTCCCAAAAGAAATCAACTTGTATTATTCCACCATGAAATTCCTTCACCTTTGTTAATCCTTCATGCTAAAAAATTGCTGCATTTCAGACATGGAACATGTACATAGACAGGGACAGGAGTGAAAGCACAAAAGGGGAGGTCTGTAACAGTGTGCAACACAGATAGGTTAAATAACAAAGGGGATGATAATGCAATACAAGAAAAGATAAATGAATGAATATCCATGAATGCCGTCCATTCCTTATACTCTTCTGTATGCTTTCAGATGTACCCAGCTTCCTTGGTGCTGAAATTTATCATCTCATTGAAGTTCATATTCTTTCTTGGCCATACAGCTATTGCTCATTAAGTTTCAAACTAAGATTGAATATGTTAATCTGAAGAATTGTTATTAATATAGTTCTCCAAACTAAAATTTCACAAAAATTCAAGGCTTGCTAATGCCACTATCATGTTTAACACTTGAAGTGTTATTTTTTATGTACACCCGATAATACCTTGCAAATGGTTTCCAGTGGCAAATAAAAGTGTACAAAGGGGACATAGAGAAATATAAGACTTCCCTGACAATTTTATAAATTCCAGTTGTTCTCTGGAAAATTATGTTGCTGAATTTTGACTTGAGATGATAAAAATGTCTATGCAGATGTTGGCTGGATTAAAAAAATCCTTCACCCAAATAAGTGATCTTTTAATTTTGAGGATGTGGGTGAGATTTACTTTAGGATAAATTGCTTTTAATGTCCTATTCTAAACATGCCAATCCTTTCTTTATTGCTGATTTAGTCCCCTCATTTAGCTGAATCTTGACTTAAGGAGTGGAGTGGAGATTGATGAGTTGGAAATGTTCCAATGTCATTCTG